TCTAACGCGTTTTTACCATAAAAATGGTGCAAAACCGACGCGTTGGTTAGTAACGCGTTTAATCGATGTTAAATTAGATGCATCTAAACGCGTTCATTTCTAACGCGTTTCTACCACAAAAATGGTGCAAAACCGACGCGTCAAACGCGTCAGGAACTAACGCAAATAACGCGTTTTTGTAGCAGAAAATGACGCCATGGGCGGTTTTGTCAGTATGCGAGATATATTTAATCTAGTCAGGGTTTTTGCAAATTTATTCTTCATTAAAAAATTTGTAAGTTTTCAGTAAATAACCTGAGAAATATCCCATAATGGTTGAAGCAGGATCAGACATTTCATTCGATTCACGAAATCAAATTTCAAATACAAAAGATGCTCCGCCGCCACCGTTAGGTTTTCCAGATTATCTTCCATATTTCAAGCGTTATATTGATTCAAAATGGTGTTATCATTCGAGTGCTGTTGCAACAGCAACAATTATCGATGTTCAAGACAAATTTGCATTTCAAATTGATATATGGAGTTTAATTGAACAACGATGGTTAGATTGGGATGAAAATCCCTATCGAGGCGAAGAAACTCCGAACGAACCTGTCGGTGATATTTGGAGTTTCCACTTTAATGTACCTATAACAATAATAGAAGGAAAACGTACAGATTATATAAACTTATATCATACTCAAGACAAAACTATATGTCTATCATGCGATGGGGCTGGTATAAGAACTTGTTCATCATGTGATGGCGCAGGGCATATCGACTGCAATGTCTGCAAACGCTCAGGAACACAAGCAAACGGAGAGAAATGTTCAAACTGTGATGGTAGAGGCATTACACAATGTTCTAGTTGTGGTACAACGGGAAAACAAAATTGTTCTCGATGTGATACAGTAGGTTGGCTATTGAGATGGGCTGTAATACGCGTTAAGTGGTTTACAATACACAGTGTGTTATATGAACAAAATTCAACATTGCCCGAGAAGCGAATACGAAAGGCTCCAAAAACTGATTTTTGCACACGAGACATACCATGGTCAACAGATTACACACTTGATAATTACTCAGACCTGTTTAAATATATACAGCAATACTCACCGATTCAGTTTCAAAATCATATAACAGAAGAATATCAGAAAAAACATTTATCAAAAGCAGACAGAAGTGATCGAAAAATGGTTAAATTATCATGTTCAATTTCACAAATACCAGTGAAAGAAATTTTATATACAACAGGCAATCATATTAATAAAGCAGATCCAAAAAAAGGTAAATCTCGGTCAACTATACACTCTCTTCACGTGAGCAAAGATGATAAAAACAGTACAGAACTCTGTACTGTTCCAGCTCTGGTACAAACAAATAATGCATATTATATTCGATTTACGTTTAGGTTATATATTCCAATATTGTCAATATGGAATTGATAAAGATGGTTTTCCATTAATTTATGAAAAAGATTATCCACTTAACTGTTGCGGATGTTTTGGCGAAAGATGTGCATGTCAATGCCGTTGCGCAATATTGTAGGGTAAACACAAGTCATGACTTTCACTAACAAAAGGTCAATCATTTTCAATTCTGTGTTTCTCTGTACATTAGTAAATTAACAGCACCGCATTTTATGTGCGCATAAATTAAAATTATGTATGATTAGTATGGAGAAAGTTTCTAGGTTCATAGTTTGCCAGTAACTTAAAAACTTGACATTGTTACAACTAAACATATGAAATCCATGCTATTTTTCCTAATATCAATGGATCACCAAAGTCCATCATGCACGCCGCGAACGCGGTCGTAACTCGCGCAACTCGTGCCGCAATCGCTAAAAAGTCGCTGTTGTTGCTGCGAAATCGCGACCAACTCTTAAATATTTTGGAAAAATTGTAATTCACTATCGTGACGTGACATTTTTTTCTTATAGTCATCGCGCTCAAATTGCGAAGTCGCGGTGCGACCGCAATGAACTCTTAATTTTCTAAAATTTGTAATTCGTGGTTGTGAAGCGGCAATAACGACTTTTTAGCGCTCGCGGCTGCGCGATTCGAGCACGATCACTATAAGAAAAAGTATCAGATCGCGATCGTATTTTTCTCTTACAATCGCCATATGATACAGGGTCTCGGCGCCACTCCCGTGCAAATCCTGTCCACCGTTTTGTTTTGCTTATGCGCCTGCTTTATAACGCTCACTGATTTTTCAAAAAATTTTCAAAATTTTATCACATCTTAAGAGAGAGTCCGTCAAAAGGCCGACCATAGCTGGCACCTGATGGTTCCCTGATTGAGCTCATATATATCTCATTTGAAAGCCCTAACAAAATGGAGACTAACCATTTATTTAGATTTTTTGAAAACGTTTTTATCAAAAGTTAGTACGACATTTACTTTTGCTACTCTCAACTTTTCTAAAAAGAATTCAACTTTCTAGTATTGCTCCGTATTTTTCGAATTTCTCAAAAACCAAATGTTTTGATTCAGGTACTGTTTGAAAGAGGAGAGTTAGGACAATACATCCATACTAAAAGGTTTAGCCAATCTTCTTCTTTTGCTGGGAAAAAGTGCTTTTCTTAACAATTTTTAATTTCGAAGTTATCACTTTTTTTGAGTTTTTTGTTCTTCTGAGTACCTTAAACGCCCAACTCCCCATTCTTTTATTTCACCATTTTGTACATTAAGCAATTCTCTATCGAATGAAGTGCAGAAAGTCTGAAAAAAAGTCCGGCAACTTGAGTTATAGCCGGTGCAGCAAGAGCAGGTCCCATCTAAAACTGCATAAAACATCAGAAAAAAATGTTTTTTCATCTTTTACACAGGACCAAAGTTAGCTTTGCAATCAGCAACTAAAACTGCATCGAACTAGAGATCTTCTCTCGGCTTTTGTTCCATAGCTTTCTTTCCCCTACTCGTCTACGCCTATGTCCTAAGCGGGGATAATGTTGAAGTTATTCTCAGAGACGACAGAGAATCAAAAGCCCACTAGCATTGACTTACAAAGCCTTTTTTGTTCTTGTCAATATGTACTATTTCGAGAAATTTCAAAGCTCGAAGCAAAATTTTTGCAAGCAGTTTAAACTGAGAATGTCTACTCTAACATAGCATCCAAAAAATGTTTCCAACAGAAATCCGTTAATATTCTAGCAATCTGCTTGAAAATCTCAATAATTATAGGTTATTGTTTGTTCTACAAATAATCATTGTCCAAAGACCAAAATAGAAATTAGGTTTTTTCGGACTAGTTTTCTGGGACCCTTTTAAAAACCTAAGTATAACTAAGAATATGTTTGGCTGTTTAGCATTTGTTAGTTATTCTTTTTATGAAACTATTTCTCATTATTCTCCGATATCAGACTAGTGATCAGCGACGGTTTTCTGTGTAAGTATTAAACTTAAATTATTTGTTTTTACGTTATAGAAAACTTGGATGGTTTGATAGTGAGGTATTTTATTTACTCGCCAAATACTATAACCATTCATGTTTGAAAATAGATTTGAATGTTTTTGCAACCGCTTTAACACTGCGAACTGAAGCGGCCTACGGGGCTCATGCATAGTTACTTTGAAAACTGTGAACGACAAGGAACAAAGTCTGATCTAGCTCTATATTAAATGTTTTAACATCGTTCGATTTTCATAACATGTTTGCCTGTTGTCATATGTATCATCAGGTTATCATGTGTGCGAAATTGTTTGATACATCCTGATTCAGTACTATCAAATGTCACAAAACTTGAAGGATTACAACTAATTTCGTCGTCACTCTGATCATCATCTTCGTCATCATCCGATGAACTAGATTCATTTTTTTCTTTTACATAAGCACCAGCTGAAAAATAAAGCGAATTGAAATATTACTTCACTTTTCAAGTATATCTCTCACTTTTCGTTAGAGGTTCTGACAACCATTTATCATATGTTTCAGCTGATTGATATGTAACATTAAGTTGATTGATATTTTAAACAGTATTCATTTTTGACCACATAAACTTTTTCCCAACACCGAGATTGTATAATCGCCACGCCGTCACCGCCGCCTCTTTGCCGAGATTGTATGATTTGAATTTGTGAAAAAGATTATAGGAATCCAAAATAGCTCTGATCAAATAATGGTTAGTTTTGATGTCAATAATTTATACGCAAATGTTCCTGTTCATGAAGCTATAGAAACTACTCTGGACATGTTATTTAAAAGGCCTTCTCCACCTTCTATACCTTTTACTCGATCACAATTAAAACAATTATTAGAATTCGCTGTATGCAACATTCCATTCAGATTTCTTGATAAAGTATATATACAAACTG